ACACTTTCGTCCACATATTCTATAAGAGCAGGAGTGCCGCAGGGCAGTGTTCTTGATCGTCCTCTCAACATATGTTGCAATCATCTATAACTCTAAAAGTCTTTTTGAAGCAAGAACTGGACTACAAAGGTATCTTGATACTCTCGCTGATTGGTGGAAGCGGTGGAATCTAAAAGTCAACCCGCTAAAAACCCTTGCTTTTTGGCATCACACTGGACAGGCGTCTCACCTTTGGGCCGCACCTCAAATCTGCGATGAAAAAATATCGTCACAGACTGCAGCAACCGCGATGGCTCAACAATAAAAAGAGCACCTTACCGCTGCGATGCAAAAGAGCTGTCTACGTGCGGTGTATCCTATCGATATGGCTCTATGGAGTGTAAATCTGGGGAATTGCTGCCAAATCCAATTACAAAAGGGTACAGGTATTGCAGAATCGAGTACTACGACAGATAACCAACTCTCCCTGGTATATACGCGGCTCAACACTCCATAGAGACCTCAAGAGATCTGCCTACTGTCGAAAAGCAGATTGGTAAATATACAATCAGATACTCGGAAAGATTACAACGACACCGAAGCCTACTTCCAAGAGGTCTCGTCCCTGTAAGACCCCCAAAACTATCGACTTCACATTATGAGGAAATGTGACTGAGGTTTGACCCTAATTTCATTTATATACATGTAAAGTTAAGGTACTCAATTTGATTGTACAGCTTCTTAATAAAAAAAAAAACAGAGTAAGGCCTAGCTGTAAAGCACAATACGCGTCAATACTCGCTAAACGAAAATATCACCTGTAGTAAATAGTTCCTTTTGGATACGCTTAAGAGTCATGAAAAACACGAGACGGTCAGAGTCGGTCGACCGATTTCTTTTAGGGCAATAAGAATCTTACAACAACTTATACTAACACGTCTTCACTTGGCGGCTGTCGATTACAGACTTGGGCTGCAGGCTGCATGTTGATCTCTATCATTTCTCTCTTAAATATTATACCAAGTATGCTAAACATTATAGTTAAACACGGAACCTGAAATTTGATGAACAAAATTTACCGCGATAAAGTGTAAAAGAGGATTGTGAGGAGAACTACCACGAATCCACGGCTCTTCTAATAAAAAAGTACTGCTCAACCCAAACTTTTGAGACAGACCTTATAAGTTTCACACCTGAAATCCCTGTTCCCACACCTTGGCCGAACACTACAAACTACTAATAACGCACATACAATACGTTACAAAGTTCACAAAATCAGAACCAACGTAATCACCAGACTCAATATATTTTAACCAGCTAGTCTCTTCCTATCAGTGTAAGGTGGGGAGCGAAATGTTGTTGAAACTTTCTGACGACGAAATAATCCCATCCCCATACAATTAACCATGAGTACATCGTCCCCAAAAAACGTGATGCATCAGGACAAAAAAATAACGAATGATTATAAATTAGGGAAGCTTTAGTAAAAAACAGATGCAGATTGTGTTAGCACATTAAGGTAACAACAAAATATCAAAAACTTATAAAAAAAGTTCATTGCGGCAAATTACTCTTAAAGTATCTGATATAGAAAAGAAACTTTTCTCCGTAAACAATAGAAAATATGACTTTACACGACTCTTCCTTCGTACTCAAGAACATAGCCTCAATGTTTCAGAGAACTTGTGATGACATTATTTGTAAGTATATCAGAAAGATGTGCTTCATTTATATTGACGACATAATAATTTTCAGCAAAAGTAATATTTCACATGCGAACAGGAATTCAATATAAAGTGTCGGTTGGGTAAATGCGACTTCTTCAAAACTAGACTATGGTTCTTTTCGATTTGTCATCTCTGACAAAGGCATAGAAACCCTAGTCAAAAATGAAAAGTCTAGGATCCTTAATTTTACTAACCAGCTTCTTTGGAAGCTTTATAAAAGACTTCGCTAAGCTGGGACATCTCACTTTACCTTACCTCGAATTAAAATGGCAAGACTGACTTGTATCCAAAAATCAATCGGCGAAAAAAGTTATTGTTCTCAATAATGAGGTTATCGAAACTTTCAAATAAGGTAATACCCAGATTTCAGCAAGGAATTTTATTTGACAACAGATGCACCTAACTTTGCTATCGGCGCTGTTCCAGAACAATCGACCTTATTGCTTTCATTCAAGAACACTCGCGAAACCAGAAGAGAACTACGCCATTCATGAGGGGAAATGTTGCCAAATATTTACGCTTTAATAGATTTCAAGATTTATCTTTACAGTAAAGTAAAGGTGAAAATATACACTGTTATCAATCAGGTAGAATTAGTATTGCAGTTGATGCGCTATTACGAATCCCTGTATCAATAATATCGGGTCAGTAAACTTCAACTAATATAACAATATAATAGAAGTTAAAAATAATAATATGGTAAATGTATAATTAACTAATTTATTTACTATAATAAAACGATTTATATATTGAACAAAAATTGTTAGAACTATAGTAATATAATGTTAAAATATGTAACAAAGCAAATAACTCCAATGGAAAGACAACAAATAAAGATTCTTTCTCTCAAAGCACTCGTAGACCTGCATATCGAAAACATAAACAAGTAAGAAATCCAGTCGCAAATGGGGCTGGGATCAGGTTATCTCTTAGAGTAGAGCTTTCTAACTCGTTTTTTTATTAGTTTTAAGCATCCAATTTTTAACTCAATGGGTTCAGGGTAAAAATTGTAAGAAATAGTAATAAAAGAAAGCATATTTTTTTTTGTTTTTCGTTTGTTTATTATGCTCAATTATATTATATATATATATATATATATATATATAGTTACGCATGCGATTATATATCAGTTAGCTTGTTGTTATTTTTGGTTTACAAATATTCATGATTGCTTCTTATGTAATTTATATGCATTTTATTTAACAAATATGTCCACATACATGTTTATGTATATACACGCATATGTATACATATAAATAGGTATGAATAATTTACACCACAAAAAAACAATAATTAATTATTCTCTTATATATTTGCTCAATTTCTTTTGCTTTTTATAATATTTGCTTGCTGCGATATTTGTTTTTGCTATTCTTTTGTGTTGCGTGGTTTTTAGTGCTGATCCAAAAATGCTCGTGCTGGGGCTCATTGCTGGATGTACCTTGGGCGGCTGAAGCTGTCTTTTATATAGATATATATTTTTTTGGTTTTTCATATTTTTTAGATTTGTTTGTTTGGTTTTTGTATTGGTGGGCGTGCAAGTGGCCAGTGGCACTCCACCCACCAGATCAAACCAAAATGCAAATAAGTTACTTGACAATTTTTCTATATTTTAAGCATATTATGTTAATAAATAATTATGAATAATTAATTACATGTAATTCATTATTCATATATTTGTCTCTGCCAAGCGATTATTTTACATCGAAATGTCAAATTGTCTGTTTCTATTGGACGTTTGCATATATATGTTATATGTAGTATATATTTTATATGTAAGTTTGCATATATATATTTACTACTTACATTTATTTTTGTCATTCTAACAACTTGTTTTACGAGTAGTAGCACAATTTTTGGACGAAAATGGTTGTGGAAATCGAAGCGATGTGTGTGTATGTGCGCGAGTGTATGTGTGTGTCAGCCAAAGATATTTTAATCAAGTTGAGAAATTTTACAAATTGACAAAATAAATATATGTATATCGCTGACTAATTTATATTGAGTATTGGGGTGTACTAAAAAGATATACACATGTTGCATATAGCATTATGAATATGTATGTGTAGGCATGTTTCTGAGATTTATTTGATTTACATTAATTGTTAGTATAACATTAATTTGAAGAACCGTTAAGAAGCGTTTCGTTATGAAAGCAGAAGAAATGATATTCAAAAGGATAAACCAATGACAACTGCATATGGAAGTCCTCCAGTGTTGTTAAATTCGTGCCAAAATCGAGGTTTGACAGCGAGAAAGTAGCTTTGACCGATTGCGTCGTAGTGGTCGTGGGAACTGAACGTGGCATTAGCATGAGATTCAGTCGGCATATGAAAAGAAAATAGACAACATAAAACGCTCTAAGCGTGTTTAAATAATATCAAGTAAAATGCAGTCTGAAATGCCAATATGAAATGCATGTATAAATATGACTTGCTGCAGAGGAGTGGTTGGTATAACGTATATGCATTGAAGTTAATTTTTATATAAAACAGGTTCATATATATGTGAATGTGTCTGTGTGTATTTGTGATGGTATATTAAAAAAAGCAATGCCGTCTATATGAGTTATGAGCTATGAAGCTGACTTGCGCACGTTCTTCTTCTTTATAAATGTATGTGTAACGGTATACGTTTAGTACTGCGGCGCGGCATATATAGTATAGTGACGTGGCATGGTACGGTATATGCGACTGTCAGAGAGCGGGAGGCTTGAGGGTTGGCAAAGGCATTGTAAACTATCATTGTATTCTGTACGCTGCTTAACTAAGCTAAGGACGTTTTCGCAAAAAGGTCATCTTGTTTATATTGATATATATATATATATATATATATATATATATATATATATATATATATATATATATATATATATATATATATATATATATTATATTTTACCCGAAAAATTGCATAGGATTCGCAACTCCCTGCTCATTATTAACTATTTGCTCTTAGCTTTGCAAACAGGCGTGCAATTTCTTTCAATTTATATAGTTTTACTTTGATACTTTCTTTGTTTTTTTTTTTTATTGTTTTCTTTTAATATATTAATATATTTGTTATTTGTTTGCATCTCATGTATTGGAACAAAAGGTTTACGCATGTCATTCGATATACTTTTTTTTAACTTCTCCTTTTTTTTTAACTTGCCTAATTTTAAGTCAAGCGAAGTGAAATTAATTAGAACGTTTTCAATATATATATATATATATATATATATATATATATATATATATATATAGAAAGGGAGAGAGAGAAAACGTTGTAATTAATTCTAATTCGCTATTCTGCCGATTGATATCGTTTAAATATATATGGGGTTCTCCTGGCCGGTTAACAAACGGAACATTGAAGTGGGCATTGTTTTCATCAGAATCTGTTAACGATAAGAAGGATTAGACTCACTGCTTCGTTGGATCTGCACTCTGCTTATACCTCGCCCACCGATGTGGCCAACAAATTGACGATCTTCTCATGAGGTACAGCCACTACGCTCTGGTTGTTGATCTCAATGATTCGATGACCGACACGAACGCCACCCCGCTCCGCAATGCCACCACGCAGCAGACTGCAGATCTAAGGCGAAATATTCAAAATATTAATTACTGCACAGTATATCGTTTCGTTTTCGTTTGGTCTATTTTTTTTTTTTGAATATGAGTCGTTTCTAAAATCACAAACCTACACACAGTGTTTCGCAATTTTCGCTCGACACAGTTTTCTCAATTTCAGCAGCAAAGACAGGAAGCCAACATTTGGCAACGCTCTTTTCACATCGCTTGAACGGACCTGACTCTACGTCACCGAATTAAGTTTCGATCAGTGCTCACACTGTTTTTGTCACAAGCGATGAAAGTGTGGTAGCTGCTGAAACCTAACGAGATTCGAAGCCGTTCTCTGAATCTAGCCCTCTCCTTGTAACCAAAACCCTTTAAAGAATTATTTCATATACACTTCTCGTCATTATGTTAGCGGCCCCTTTTATACCGCGATCCCATTACAAACGGCAAATCAGAGTATAATGGTTTTGTGCAAATGTATGTTACAGGCAGAAGGAGACGTGGCAGACCCCATAAAGTATATATAGTAAGGAGCAAAAGTGTTTCCATAGTTGACACTGAACTTTCTGAGTCAATAATATCCAACCGAATAAACCAAATCAAAAAAAATTTCTTTTCCAATAATATGTATTTAATTCTTAACAAATTGCCGTATTTAACAAAAACAAAAGTTAATCAGTAAAATATTCAAACAAAGAAAACTGAAACAAAACGCATGTGTATAATTTTGCACCTTCAGTGAAAAAATTAAATATGATTCAAAATTAATATTTTGTCCACAGACCTTTATTAGCTATTACACTTTTTATTCGGTTTGGCATACTCTCAACCAACTTTTCTATGGTTTCCTTTGGAACTCGGTTCCACTTCAGTTCTACACGCTTCTTTGGCACGACCTTTGGATCGTTTAGGTTGGATGGCATTGATTGATATTGCCCGAGCCGTCGCTTTACGATTGACCACAGGTCTCAATCGGATTGAGGTCGGAACTCCATCAGCATAAAATCTTGGTTTTATAACCATTCGCGGACAATTTTGGCAGTGTGCTTCGGATCTTGTTGAAAAATGATTTCCGTTACGGAAATTCCATTATATTAATCTTGGTCAGGACGACAAGCCGAGTCGATTGAGTCCTGTCCCTAGCTCTTATAGATGCTGAGATCGACGCGTTCGCACATACGAGCAGACGGACAGACAGACAGGCATGCAGACACACAGAGGGACAGGGCTAAATCGACTTGGCTTGTCGTCCTGATCAAAAATATATATTATTTATGGGGTCTGCCACGCATCCTTTTACCTGTTACATACATTTGCACAAAACCATTATATCCTGATTTCCCATTTTCAATGGGATCAGAGTATAAAAACAGGGCGCTAACCTAATAACGAGAAGCGCATGCTTAATCCCGAAAACGTTCTAGGCAATCTGAAAGATCCAAAATTTAGTGCTAATAGTGCCACGCAAGGCTGGCACTCGCCGGTGGAACTATTTTTACACAGACCAATCTGCCTTGGCCTTGCAGTTTCCGCTATTTAACTAGTGAACGCAATGGGCGAAGCAGAACTGAATCATCTGAATCTGGATGTCAAAAATTCACACAGCTATACAATACTATATCCCCAAATATCTAAAATAAATAGTTAAGAGCTATTTCAGAGGAAGAACACTTCTGAGGGTCCCCGAACTCATCTACTGTCAGTTGGAGTCCCCCAAGGATCAGTGCTGGAGCCTGTGTTATGAACTGCAATGTATGGCGGTTGACTGCACCTTGATCTGCCGCAGACTCGGCCTTTCCATAGGAAAGGAGCTTAAAAATATAGAGGATATGTGTAGCTCAAGTTGCAGAAACGGTCTGTTAGTCCGTCAGATAGTTAGTAAATCAGCAAGTCAATCAAAGCAAAAGTCAATATTTATCAGTGAATCAATAAAATATGCAAGTTACTGTCTCAATCACTATTTTATTGCTTTTATTACTCACCACGCCATTTTGCACGCTGAAACCCAGTTGATATTTGGTCTCTGGACGCTTGATTTTGACCTCGACGACTGGCGCACAGGGCACAACAGTGAATTTGACAACGGTTTGGTTTTTAGTATTCTTGATGTATGTCTGGCAAGTGGAGAGCGGTAGTCCGACCAGGCTTAGGCCGTTTATGGCGATCAGCTGATCGCCAATATTCAACTGGCCGCAACGTGCAGCAGCGCCAGAGCTCATGAGATTCGCAATGACGACTGTGGGCAGCATGGAGCCCCAACCGCTTTCGACAATAACCACACCAAGTATTTCGCCCTTGGCTTTGGGCACAACTACCTCCTTTTGTAGCTCTTTCTTGGCAAATATCTCGAGCTCGTCGCCAAAGATCTCCTGGCTGTTAAGCACCTCCTGGTAATCCATTTCCTTAACAAACCGATGATCCTCAATGCCATTAGCCTTTAAAAACTCCATGTAAGCCACTTGGAAGGCCTGCCCAATCGACTGTGCTATGAACTGCGCTTCGTCACTTTCAAACACGTGGCATATCATTTTGGGTGTGCGATTGGGTTTCGGCGCATCATCGATGTCCTGTGGCACGAAACGCCGCCGTGCCATCAGTACCACTAGATCCCCAATGTCGGCTATATAGGAGATGGTACGCAGAGCATGATCCATCATGATTTCCTTGAGATCGGTGTTCAGCACCATTATCTTCTCCGTCGAGATAAACAAATCCACCTCAGTACTGGGTTGCACATCGCCATCGGGTGCCTGATTCGAACAATTAGAAAATGTTACTATTAAGTATCTATATATTTCGTTTCGATATTAATATGGACTTTGCTTAGCTTCTAAGCATGTTGCATAAGGTAAACGAAAACTTAATTAATTTGGAGCAAATTATTTGAAATTGTGTTAATTGTTTCTATCTACTTACCAGAGCCTATGGTATACGAATTTAGCGGTTCGATCATGGATGGCAATACGTGGGTTCATTTAGCGAATTCGTCACATTCATAGCGAGCAGATCAGTTTGTTAGGTTGATGTAAATGGTAACAAATTTACGCATGAAAAAATAATCAAAAATTCCATGATTGTTCAGTATCAAGTATCTCTAGTAATAGCTAATAAAAATAAATAAATCCATGCATATTGCAAAACGCAAAAAGTAAATTCAATAAAAAACAATTACGAAAGTCGAGGTCCCCGACTAGGTGATACCTTGATCCCAGTCCTAGCTGCGCTTGCTAATATTTTCATATTACGATATTACCATTAATGTGCATCACTACTTCAAAATTAAACAAGTAAGAAAGCTCTAGTCGGGGTGCCCGACTAGGAGATAGCCTGATCCCAGTCCTCTCTGCGTTTTTTAATATTTTCCGTAGTTTGTATCGAGCATTAAAAAAATACAAATAAGAACTTACATTACCACACCAAGATTCGAACCCACATTTTGCGCATCAGCTATACCAACACTGCCACTTCATAATTAAAAAAAAAAATAAATCAATAAAAAATGTCTCATCATCGCGAGGATTGAACCCGAGCAGTCAATGCACTGCTTTCTTAAGCAGTTGCAAATTTGAATCGCAATTTCGATTCTTCGAATAGAGGACAATACACGCATTTGAATGTATGTTTGCACACGCATAGGGAAAATGCGTGCGCGTGGCGCTGCTGTCATGTGCTTTTGCAAATTGGCCAAACGTTTTGTTTAATAATTTCTGTTTTACTTAATGGATTTTAATTTTCAGCATATGATCTACATATTCTATTGGCTTCGTAGAGATGCAAACGCCTTCACATAAAGACGCAAGTTTCAACTAAACTTAAATTTTAAGAATTTGGGAAATTTTGGAGTCGGTATCCAAAATCCAACAAAAATCAAAACTGCATAAAATATACATAAAACTAAATAGAACATTTGGCTCTAGCTCTTAATACCTCCGAGATATAATTTATTAACTGCATTTCAATCATGTTTTTATTCGATAACAATTAAATGCGAATAGTTATCGAATATTTGAAACAAACTTGATCTGCGCGTGCTATACACGGTCCTACAAACAAATTTCAAGTCTCTAGCTCTTATATGCGTTTGAATCTCTACCAAGCCATTTTCATATGCTAAATTTCATTAATCCATTAAGTAAAACAGAAGTTATTAAACAAAACGTTTGGCCACTTTGCAGAAGCACATGTCAAGCAGCGCCCAGCGCACGCATTTTTCCTATGCGTGTGCACACATACATTCAAATGCTTGTATTATTTTATATTCGAAGAATCGAAATTGCGAATAAATACTGCTTGAGTTATCAGCTGCGACTTTAGTTCAAATTTGCAACTCTTCTTCTAAGCGGTGCAGTGGCAGAGGCGGTGCTCGTAAGCAGTTAGATCTGGAGTTCGAGCCCGATGCCGATGAACTATTGTTTATTGTTATATTTCTAACTATAAAGTAGCGGTTTTGGTAGACTTGATGCGCGTTGCGTAAAAATTGTGGGTTCGAATCTTGGTGTCGTAATGTCGATATTTGTTTTTTCCTTTTTTTTTTTGAATACTCGATACAAGCCACGTGAAATGTTAAAAAACGCAGATAGGCGGACTGGGATCAGGGTATCTACTAGTCGGGCATCTCGACTAGAGCCTTCTTGCTTGTTTTTGACTTAATGTACTACTTCTGATATATGTTAACGTTGTTTAATTCATGTATGGAAATTGCCATTAGATTCACTCTTCTAGTCTTCAAGTCCTCTCAACAAGTCATATATTGCTTTCAAAGCATTAAAAAGCAGAAGTTTTCTCAAACATAGTGCTTACTTTACTTGTTACACTTGTTACCCTTAAATTGTTACTTTTCTGGTTATTCACGGTTGATCGAAGTTTATATTCTTCTCAATTTTATGTTTAGATCTATGTTGAATACCTGTTTATAAATAATTATTGTACTGTTCCATAATTTGGCAAAACATTCTTGTAATCTATGCTATCAAGTGCCATTGATTTGATTTGAATTTAACGTTTTAGAACTTTGGAATTGTTATTTATGCACTTTGTATCGTTTCGTATCGTTATTCGTTATTCGTACGGGATTTATTTCAAAGCTTCCACGACAATTAACTGATTAAATTAATACTGTCCATTATTTATTTCTTTTGAGGGAAGTGGTGTTTCTACTTTAATAGTCAAAATACCACTCATAATGTGAGCTTGAAGGCCTATTCCGGGTATAAGTAGTATGTAGAAGAAGGCATTTCTTCATAATTTGAAAATTAAAGAAACTAATAACTGCAAATTTTTTCTGACACTTTTGTTTAAATTAATTATGACATTCACCATTTGGGATAGGCATAGAACCTTTGCTTAATAACTTTCACATTATTGAACGAATTTCAATGACATGATCTACATATTCGATTGAATATTTTTTAGCTGAAAGACTAGATTTGGAACTGAACATCAATTAAAAGAATTTAGCGAAATTTGGAGCCGATATTCAAAACCTAATATAAAAATTGTATAAAATAAACATAAAAGTACACTCTAACGGAATTCCGAAAATGTTTGTAATCAGTAACGTTGGGTCTACCACGCGTCCTTTTCGTGTCACATACATTTTAACAAAACTAGTATTTTTTGCTTTTGCTGTTGCTATCCAAATTAATTATTAAGGTTGAGCGTCCCTAGGACAATCTAGCATAGTTAGCATCATGAGGTTTGGATTTTTCAAAGCTTCCAGCTCATTAATAATTGGGTAATGAACCTGAGTGGCAAACTCTTCGACGATTGAAAAACTATAAAGGTTGCAAATGTTTTAAGGTTTATTGAACAATTACGTCTTAATAGCATATCATGTCTTATGTAACTGTAAATGAGTTAATAACAAGTAAGAAAGCTCTAGTCGGGGTGCCCGACTAGGAGATTCCCTGATCCCAGTCCTATTTGCGTTTATTAATATTTTCCGTAGTTTGTATCAAGTATTCAAAAAAAAAAAAAAGAAAACAAATAAAAAACGACATTACGATACGATAGGATTCGAACCCGTATTCTTTGCGCACCGTGCAACAACTCTACCAACACCGCCACTTCATAATTAAAAAAAAAAAATAAAACAATAAAAAATATTTCGTCTCCGTCGGTCGCAAACCATGGGTCCTGCTGCATACGAACGACGCCTCTACCAACGCAGCCACTGTACCTCTTGCAAGAGTTGCAAATTTCAAGTTGAGTAGCAACTTATAATTCAAGCAGAATTCAATCGCAATTTCGATTCTTGGAATAGAAAAGAATACACGCATTTGAATGTATGTGTGCACACGCATAGGAAAAATACGTGCACGTGGCGCTGCAGACATGTGCTTCTGCAAATTGGCCAAACGTTTTGTTTAATAACTTCTGTTTTACTTAATGGATTTTAATGAAATTTTCAGCCTATGATCTACATATTCTATTGGCTTGGTTAAGATGCAAACGCCGTCACATAATGGCCCTAGTTCCAATTAAACTGATATTTTAGGAATCTGGGGAAATTTGGAGTCGGTATCCAAAATTCAACAAAAATCAAAATTGCATAAAATATACATAAAACTAAATAAAAATAATATGGAGGCTCTAGCTCTTAAGACGTCCGAGATATAATTTATTAACTGCATTTCAATTATGTTTTTATTCGATAACAATTAAATGCAAATAGTTATCGAATATTTGAAACAAACTTGACCCGCGCGTGCTATACACGGACCTACAAAAATAATTCAATTCTCTAGCTCTTATAGATGCTGAGATCCACGCGTTCACACATACGGACAGACGGACGGACGGACAGACGGACGGACAGACAGACGGACAGACAGACGGACAGACAGACGGACAGTGATCAATCGACTCGGCTTGTTATCCTGATCAAGAATATATATACTTTATGGGGTCTGCCACGCCTCCTTCTGCCTGTTACATACATTTGCACATAACCATTATAGCCTGATTTCCCATTTTCAATGGGATCAGGGTATTAAAACGCTATTAGCTTTAATAAAACAGATTCCGAATTTTGTAGATGAGATAAACAAAACGACAATTCCGGTAAACCGATTCTTTGCCGAAAATTCGAGAGTAAGAATTACCGGGCAGCTATAAAACGAAACATCCACCAGTTTTACTTAAATTTAACACATAGTGGAGTTGCTAATAAAGAACGCACACGCCAAAACGGAGGTATGCATGTGATGACAGCATTCTTACGGTAGCACTATTGGATCATTGGTCTAAGAAATCATCTGGAGCATAATGGGTCACTATGAACCACCTTTTTCAATTAGGTGCGCTTAAGGTAAAAGGCGGAAGTTCTTTAACGAATATATTGCTTTTTTCTTGTGTATTCCAAACAGATTTGTTTATTTATCAAAAAAATCGTTCTTGACAACTTTGCACAGATTCTTTGTAAACCAGGAAAAAGCATACAAATCTAATCCGACAAGGGAACTAATTTTGTCGGCACTGCACGGAAACTAGACAAGGATTTTCAATAAGCAAGCGAAAACAAGTCAGAATGTTGCAGTCGACCGACAGCATTATACTGATATCCGATCTAACCGTTATCAGCACCAAAACTTTGGAAGATACATTTTTTCGATTCGACGCGCCGTCAAGAGGCATATATATATCATATCTCAGTAGCAACTTGTTAAATGTAAATTATTAAATTGTTAAATTTTGAGTTTACAGCTAAAAAAAATTAGAATATTCAGTTTGCATAATTTGTCAAGCTTCT